GACGCGAGCAGGAGAGGGTTCGCAGCCGTCACCTGTTAGGTTGTGCGGGGGAGCCCTCACTGAGAAGGCGACATTGGCGCGAAGACCCGAAGGAGGCGAGGGGTGAGGCAGGCGGATACCTCAGGGAAGCGCATCCAGGAGGCGGGAACGGCCGGTGCAAAAGCCTCGAGCCGGGGCCGGGATAGTGAGGGGTTATTCCGGCGTCTTCACGACCCCTCCATGCCCGGCCTCGGTGCCGCGTTTGCCTGCGTGAGGGTCTGCAGAATGAACAGATTTGGAGTGAGTGTGTGTATTTGCTTCTGTGGATAGACCAAGTTTGGGGGAATAGGTTTGCGTTGCCTTTCATTTCCATTTCCCAGATGAAGAAACTGAGGCTCAGAGAGGTGTGGAAGGGAGTCAGTCTCGGGTATGTCCTACGCCGGGGCTCCCTGGCATAACCGCATAGTCGCATAAGCGGCTCAGAACTTGGTGTCGCGGTGCCCGCTCCCAACCCTATCCCCTACCCAATCTCGGACCCCAGCCCCTGGCTGTCCCTGTTTCGGCCCTTCAGCCAGCTCAAGTCCCGAGAATCTGGAGAGTATGGTTGGGTCTTAAAACTACTGACAGAGAAGATTGGGAATTGCGGGGACACTAGACGACGCCCTTCCCATTACCCACCACTCGGGAGTGGGGAGAAAGACCACACGAGCTGCGGCGCCCGCGATGCCCACCAGGGGTCGCTCCAGGACCGCTAGTTAAAGGTGTTCCGAGCCCGGATCCAGCGCCAAAGCTCCACACGGCCTTTGAACACCAGGCTGCCCAAAGGGGACATTCCTGGAGGGCGGCGGTCCTTCAAGCGAGGTCCTGGGATCAGCCTCACCTGGGAACTTGATAGAAACGTATATTCTTGGCCCCACTCCACACCTACAGAATCACTTGGGGTTGGGATCTAGCCTTCTGTGTTTTAAAACGCCCTCCAAGTGATTCTGAGAACCCGTGCTCCGAGGTCTGATTATCTCCAGGAGGCCTAGAGTAGCGGGTGCACATTGGAACCACCCCGGAAGTTTTAGGGCTCTGGGTGCCCGCCGCCAGACCCTGGGCCAGTTCCAAGAACACCTCTGGGTGTGGGGTCTTTGAAAGCTTCCACGTCGTTCCACGTGGCGGCGGGGGGTGGGAACTGCCCTCTAGCGTCTTATGTAAAGAAGCGGCCACCCTGAGCTATACCAGGAATGAGAGATGATGTCCGTTGGGCTGATGTGAGCTCGGATGCATCAGGTCTTCGACCCTCTCAGCAATCCCGGGAGGAAAGCTCTATGATGACCCTTCTTTTCAGATGAGTAAGTGGAGGCGCAGAGGTACAGAGAGGTTAAGTAACCAGCCCAAGGTCACACAGCTTGTAAGCAGAGATGCCAGTGGCGAGCCGGGCAACCTGACTCCAAATCCTTCCTCACCCCGGCCCCCTAATGGCTTCCTCTCTCCCTGTCACACAGCCATGGGGCTTGGGAAGTGGGGCCCAGAAAGTCCTCTCCTGTTGTGGGGTGGCATCTCTCTGTTCCATTTTCTCTTTAGTGACAATTAGGGGCGGCCAGACCAGTCCAGACAAAGGCTGGTTTAGAGGCAAAACTCCGGTTTTCTGGAGTCCTCCCTGAAAATCCCAGCCTGTTTGACTCCACCACCCCAGAAGCACAAATGGGCTGTATTTAAGGACTGGGCTCCACTGGCACCATTCAAAACCCCCTCGGATTAAAAAATAATTCACCTGGTACTGTCTCAGGTTACCCAAGGGACCTCCAGCTCTGGTGTCTCACTGGATGCTCATGTCTGGGACGCTGGGGACAAGAGGAACGAACTGAGGATCAGCAGGAGGATGGATTTGCTCAGTCTCTACGAGTGTTTCTGGGTCTCTCATCATCCCTGGTCCCCTCATTTTACCTTCCAGCAACCCAAACAGGCCATGCCCCCTCGCCAGGAGGCCCATGTTGTTCCAGATGGGCAGCAGCTGACAGCCCCCACTGCCACCACCAACCTGGCCTCCAGAGTGCTCACCTGCCACTCCAGAGATGGCTCCGCCCACCTGGTTACTACCTCTCCCCAAAGTCCATCCTTCCAGGTGGGTCCCACACCTGGTTTCTTGCAAAGCCCACTAGAGGCTCTTGCCGGGCTACACCTAGTTCAAAGGGGCTTAGCATCATACGGCAAGCCCCACCGGCGGTGACCACTTCCGGGGCAGTGACCACTCCCAGGGCCGGGGCGGGAGAGAGCGTATCATTCTTCAGTTCCAAGGGAAAAAAGCTAAGACGTTCAGGCCAGGCTGCAGCCACAGCCAGGACAGAGCTGGCTTTCAGTTCCCCTCCTCTGTGAATTAATTCCCTTTTCTCCTCCTTCTGCGAGGCTGGGGGGTGGTCGTTTGCTGTGGTTTTCACCTGTGGGCATGGGGGGAGGGAGACACAAACAATACAGAGAAATGTCCCCCATCCCCGGGGGGCCTTAGCAACCCAATCTCTCCATGACTGTGAGCATCAGTCACAGCACACTCCACATCGCATCCCCCCCATTTTGGCCTGTTCCTATTGCAATGATTTGTCACCTCGTCCAGTGGCCACGATGCCCCAGGAGACGTTCCTGGGACTTGACCAAATAGATTCCTGGGCAGCACAGCCAGTGCGAGCAAACCCCCGGCTCTGAAGCAAACTACCCTGAAATCTGCATTCGAATGCATTTTCTAGATCATTCTTCTGACCCTTGTAAAGTGTGTGAAGTGTATAAACTGCAGGCCCGGGACCCTCAGAGCCTGCAGAACCCAGGGGTGTGGGGTTGGCAAGCAAAGTGACGTAAACACGGGTCGGCATCATGGAGGGTGGGAGTGGAGGGGACGCAGGATGTGACACCCCCCGGAGCATTCTTCAGCAGCCAAGCCCAAAGCTGAGAAGTAAGTTTGTAAACATTTTTATTTGCATGTTGGCGTGTGCCCGCTTTGCAAGTTCGAGGAGGCAGTCAGTGTGAAATGTGCAGGCAAAGGTGACACGAGAAAGCGGGGCGGGCGGGGGGAGGGCGGATTCCTCCCAGGCCTCATTCTCTCTTTCAAGCACCTAGAGTTGCCTTTAACGAAGTCAATGCCTCTGCTTTGTACGGGTTTCTTCCTTCACACTCCTTGGGTTACTACAAAGAGTCTGTATCTTTAAAATCAATGCATGAGAGATAAAATTTTAGCATGAAAAGAAAGAGGGGTGATAGGGGCAGAGGTGAGGGGTGCTGCCCGGCCCCTCGCTCTACCTCCATGTTCAAGCGCGGCGGCAGGTGGGGGGTGCCCTGCGGCCTCCCTGCCCTCGTCTCACAGTGGGTCCTCCTGCTCTCTGTGCTCTGCTTCTGCTCTGGCCTCAGCCCTCAGCACCCTGAGGCTCCTGGCCTCGCCTGCTCTGGGGACTCTCCTGGGCAGGGCTGGCAGCCGTGGAGTGTGCCAGAAGGCTCTCCGGCGCTTGCAGAACCATGAAAAGCGCCCAGGGGTCTGGAACCTCACTGTCTTGACCTGTTTCCGGGCCCTGGCTCCTGGGGTTGCTCCTGCAGCCCTCCGGGCAGCTAAGGCTTCCGCTTCCTGGCCAGCTGGGGCCTCTGCCCTCTGATTATGGGCAGCTTCTACTCTCTGGTCAGCTGCAGCCTCCGCCCCATCAGATGCAGCCTCTGCCCCCTGGTCAGCTATGGCCTCTGCCCCCTGATTATCTGCAGCCTCCACTCTCTGATTGTCCGCAGCCTCTGTCCCCTGAGCTGTGGATGCTGCTTCCTGCCTCCGGCACCGCCTGAACAAAGCCCAGTTGATCTTAGGCTTCCATCGTCTTGGCGGGGTCTCAGGCTCCAGCCCATCTCCCACGTTCTCGGGGCCAGCGCCGCCTGGCACTCCATCCCTCTCCACCCTGGTCAAGGCCTGCCCGGCCTCGCCCACTCCCGGGCTGGTCCTCGGCGCCCAACCCTTCACCCTGCGCTTCAGCTTCCCCCAGGACACCTGGCTGACATATTCTCGCCACCTGTCCGCCTTGGACGGCTGGGGCCCCGGGTTTTCCTCAAACATGGGCACGGGCAGGTGCACGCGGCGGCGGGTGGCGGGCGCGCTGGGCTGCTTTTCCCCGCGCCGGAGGAAGGCCTCCACCAGCTCCTCGTCGTCCTCGCTCTCCACGTCGCTCCCCAGGAACTTGCTGCCCAGGTAACTGACGGGCATTTTGCGCACCTTCCTGCCGTGCCCGGAGCCTTCGCGGCCCTTGGTACCCTTCTGTCTGGAGGTCTCGAAGTCGCTGAACTCGCTGTCGCTGGCATTGCTGCTGTCATAGGTGCCCACGACAAGCCGGAGAGGAGGGGTCACCATCTGCTGGACTCTCCTCCTCACTCGGGGCTCCTTGGGCTTTTTGGGGGGCTGGGGCGGGTGCGGGGTGCTCTTCTCGATGATGCGGGCCACGTCCTCCAGGGTGCGGCCTTCTTCCTCCAGAAACTGGGTCAGCCGCTCCCGAAATTCCGCCTCCTTGGTGGCGGGCTTGGAGATGACCCTCCAGACGCCCCCCGCCAGCCTGACCTCCCGGGGGATGAGCAAAGAGTCGACGTCCTCCCCGATGCGCAGCACCCCCACCGTGGAGTCCTCCTCCCTGCGGAACACCTTGCCGATTTTCTTAAAGGTGCCCACGGGCTTCAAGGCTTCCACGAGGACGTCCAAGTCCACATCTTTGCAGACGTCGGGAACGCTCCAGAGGATCAGGCAGTCGGGGGACGGGAGGAAGCCCCAGGGGAACCAGCCCCCCACGTGGCTTTTCTCGAGGGTCTTCAAGATCTCCAGGGTGAAATCTGGGGTGGGGGCAGCGAGCCCAAACTACACGAAGCGCCGGTCTTGGGGGGTGGAGAGAAGAAGAGGGGGTTGGGCGTCTCGGCAGCGCCGCTCGGAGAGTCTCCCCTCCCCAGCCGAGAATGGGCCGACACCTCCCAATCTCTCTGCCTGCAACAAGTCCCGTCTGGACCAAGGCAGGCTCCCCCGAAGGACCGGTGGGAACCAAGTTCCAGGATGCTTACGTGAGCTGGAGTGAGGGAGGTCAGTCCTGAGGCTCCAAAGGCCACCGCAAGCTCCAGAAGTGGCGTCCCGGCTCCAAGTTGGGGCGCACGCGCTGCCGGTGGCTCTTCCTGCCCCAGGCGCCAGGGACGCGCCTGAAACTTGGGAGGGGACTTCGCAGACAAAGACGGCTCAGCCGCGGCTATTCAATATGGCCGAGGCTCTTGGAGGAGGCAGCCCAGCACCCCGGGAGGGTCTCCCGCCCCTCGGCAGGCTGCCACCCCCGTCCAAGTGACCTTGACGTGCCTCCCGCCTCCCTGCCCGCGCGCGCTGAGCTTTGGAGCTGGAGCGCAGGAAGTTCCTCCTCGCCCTCCCCCAGGGTGAGGCCCACCTTTCCCCTTCTCATCTTACACTCTCCGTCTCGGGAAGACTGACAAGGGGGCTGTCCACTCCCTTCGGGGCGCCCTCACTCCCCTCCCGCACGGGGGTGTGGCTGTGCCCCGGGCCTCGCTGGGGCCGCCGCTTCCAAGCGGGGACACGCGCCTAGGCCCACGTCAGCACCTTCCCTGAATAAGGCAGCAGTCCCCAAACCTTCCATCCTAAACGTGCGGGTTCCAGCCGAGCCCCGGAGGCGGGTGTGTTAATGAGGCCGTCCTCTTGAAGGCCACTGACACTGTATGTCACCATTTTAAATTGACGTGACCTGATACCAGCGATTTCTACCTATACACCCGTGCATGCGGGCGGAGAAAGCGGTACCCGGGTCCTATTGCACCAGCCCCTCGCGTGGGACTTGGCACACAATAGGCGCTCAATAAATGTTTTTGAGTGGAGCCAATGCAGGAACCCAATTGTTCATCAGGGACAGACTCAGTCGTACGGTCTATTCTTACCGTGAAATACTGAGCAGCTATGAAGAAAGGATAGTCAAGTTTAATGGCGCCCTTCCTGTGCACTAGGCGCCATTGTAAGAGCTTTGTATGAATCAGCTCATGAAATCCTCACCATAACACGAGACAGGCAATATAATCATTCTCGTTTTCTACCTGAGGGAATAAAAGCGCTTGCTCGAGGTCACACAGCCAGGAAGCCACTGAACCTGGCTTTGAATCTGAAACATTCTGACGTGTGTGTGTGTGCGTGTGTGTGTGTGTGTGTGTGTGTGTGTGTGTGAGCCAAAAGCCTTAGATGTGTACATGTCCTCAGCGCATGTACGAGCTCTGCCAACAATGGCTCTTTCTAGGGAGGGGGGGGACTGGGGACCCCAGAAGTGGCAGAGACAGGTACTTTTCACTCCATATGCCTTTTGTTTGCTTGGAGTTTTAGTGATCCAAAATGTTCAATTGGGTCAGGACCCCCGGGACGTGGAGGCCAGGATTTGCAAAACCGGCTCAGCGACCGTGTGCGCAACCATGGCGCTGGTAGCAATAACGGTTAACTTGCACAAAGGGTCTCCTTGGAACCAGGCAACTGGCTAAGAGCCAGATCAGGCCTGTGGTTGCGAACCCTCAGCGCTGTAGGGTAAGGCGGGTGCCTTCACCATCCTCTTCTTACAAAGGGGAACACGGAGGCTGGTCGGAAGTTGCCCAGCTCTAAGTGGAGGGGCTGATATTTGAACTTGGGCGCTGGAGTAACCATCCGGGCAGGCTGGGAGGACACAGGGGATCCTCACTGCTCGCCTGGAGCCTCAGAAACGCCTCTCCCTGGGCTCCCTGTTTCCCTCGTCCATTCCCATCCGTTCTCACTGGCAGCTGGAAGGATCTTTTAAAAACTTAAGTCAGAGCTGTCTCTACTCTCCTTCAAGTCCTCATCTCGGAGTAAAATCGAAGTCCTCGCCGTGGCCCACAAAGCCTCACCAGATCTCCCCGACTCTCTTCACTCCACTGCCTGTCTCCTCCAACACACTATGCTGGCCCCAACCTCAGGGCCTTTGCACGTGCTGTTCCCGCCACCCAGAATGTTCCATCCCCACCTTCTCTGGCGATCTCTCTCTCTCGGCTTAAATGGCACCTTTTTTAAAGGAGCGATTCTGTCTCCCCGACCCCTCAACACTCTCCAGGGTCCTCTAGCCCAGGAATCCTTATCCACGCCATGAACCTTTCCAAGATAAAGGGTTTCAATGCAGAGTTGCATCGATTGGATTACTAAGGAAACCACTTCTAATAAAATGCCATCGTTAAAAGGAACACTCTAACAACAGCAAAAACCCTGTAAAATCATGACTTTAATATGAATACGGTGTAATTTTATTTAACTCAATGACGTGTGATTTTGTATAACTCTTGAAGGAAAAAGACAGATGTTTTGAGAAGGAGGGAAGGAAAGAAAGAAGGAAGAAAGATGCTTGGAGTCGGGAGAGGCTAGAGTCTCGGCAAGGCCTTTGCACAATGGTTGGCTCGCTTTGATTTTTTTCTCTCTGTGTGTGTGTGTGTGTGTGTGTGTGTGTGTGTGTGTGTGTGTGTGTGTGTGTTTGTTGTTGCTTGGCTGGATTTTCTCCTCCTCCTCACCAGCCTCATCCCAGCCGCCCCTCTCCTCCCGGCGCCTGGCCTCGAGCCATCCCGCCCATCCCTTTTGCTGAGTTTCTCGCCCCGCCTCCCATCGGTCTCCATGACAACGAGGAGATACTCCGAGTGTGCTCTGAGACCGTGGGGTGCCAGCGCCGGCGGGGACGCGCTGCTTCCCGGCTTCGCAGCCCTCCCTTAGGTCTGATGCCCCAAGTCACCTCCCCTGAGAAGCTGCTAAGAAGAGGCCCGAAGCTAAAACTCTCCCTGTTTGAGGACTAATGTCTTCAGAATCCAAATCTGAGAAGTCAAGACAATGACCTCGCGGACGAGACGTTTGAGTTGTTGTTTTTTTCTTTTCTTTTCTTTTTTTTTTTTTTGGCGGAAGGAGGGGAGGATTATCCTAGAAATGGAAACCTCAAACGTTCGACATTCTTACAAAAATTGCCAACTCCTGAGTAGTTCGCTGTGGATATTTTAAATTGCCCAGATCTCCGGCAGGCAAGATCCTTCTCCAGCCGCTCCCCGCCCCGCCCCCAAGAGGATAATTATAGCTTCCACTTTTATATTTGTTTAAAATAAAGGAAAAATAAGAAACGAAAGGGGGAAGAAAGCAAAACATGGCCCAAATCTCTCTATCCAGTTTCACTTGGTTGCTGTTAAAAAAATAAATAATAATAATAATTAGTAATTTTAAAAGTGCATAAGAAAATGCTGAAGTTACAGAAAGATGTAAAATGAAATGCAACCTCCTCCCAGTCTTAAGCTTCCACCTCTCCCCCAAAAGTAACCACAGTTAAATATTGCTGTACTGTCCTAGAAAGAAAAAAAAAAGCTTACTTGAGTACATGTGTAATTTTAAGATTTACCCCCTAGGGATGTTCACATCATCCTGAATTATTTTCATCACGGTACTTGCCACTTTCTGGAAATTTCTTATTTCTTTATTGTCTCGCCCTATTAGAATATTAGCCCCATGAAGGCAGAGAGATTTGTCCCATTTACTCACGACTGAATTCTCAGCAACTAGAACAGTTCTGCTACGTGCTCAAAATCTTTGATGGATGAATGAATGAGGGGATTGCACTAGATCGATTACTATAAAACTTGCTTTTTTCACTTAATAGCATGTCTCCAAGTGTTCTGTATGCCTGCAAGGTGAGAATGTGATAATCCTGATAACGGGTCACTTTAACTGAGCACGTACTTTGTCCCCCGCCCGGAGCATTTTCTCTCTTCATCCTTACAACCCCTCCTAAGCACGTGTTATTCCCATTTTCCAGACGAGAAAACCTGAAGCCAAAGAAGGCCACACAGCTCGAAAGTGGCAAAGCTGAGTTTTGAATCACTCAGGTTCCTTAGAGTCCAACCCCCACACTCTTAAGCCTCCTTTATTTGCCCAGTTGCCTGTGGCAGGTTTGGGGTGGGGAATAAGATGGGTGAGAAATCCCCAAAGACTCCTCTCCCAGGTGACACTCGTAACCTTGGGAGAGTCACCACCAGATGTGTCCTCAGTCTTGAAGGTGCAGGAATCAGATCCCCGTCTACAATAAACAGCATATAATTTATCCACATAGCCAGATACAGATGGGTTAACTGGCAGCACATAGTAGGTCCTCAACAAATACAACAGGAAGCAGCTCTGACATCCTTTTTCGTGTGCCCTGTGGGCATTATCCTGACATGTTTGCTGGTTCGCCTTCTGGGTTCCTTTTTTCAACGACATATTGTCTCCTGAGGGAGCCAGGCACACACACATTTACCAAGTTCAGGAATCTGAGCTATAAAAACCAAGCGAATGTGGTTTTTATCAATGCAAAACACGTGGTCACTGGGCCCAGGATCCCAGTGGCCAACACTCAACAGCAGTCAATGAAACCGTGTGCCTGAAGCGTTGACACAAGGCCTGGGAATGTAAATGTTCAAAAACTATAAGCCGTGGTTATTAGCAGGGCAGTGTTGCCTAATGGTTATGCGTGTAGACTTGAGCCTGGTTCGAATCCTGGCTCTGTTTACCATGCTGTGACTCCAAGTTCAGCTGGCACCTCCCTAGCCCCAGAAAGACCCGGCCCTGTGTGTCAGGAGCACAGACTGTGGGCAGAAAGACTTGGGTTTCAGTCCCTTGTGAGCTTTCCTGTGTGGCCTTAGGCAAGTCACTTAACCACTCTGAAGGTCACTTTCCTCATCCATAAAATGAGATACTGATTGCAATAGATTCATAATCATTTATCCCCTCTTCCAAAATCCAAAAAGCTGAAAGCTTTGCACCAAAATCCCCCAAACAAATAGACTAACGTTTGAGGGCGACATCTAGACTGACATGAGGCTATATGTATAGTCTTAGTTTATTTCACTGAACGTCAATAT